GCATTCACACCTCCCCAAACGAACCAGACCTTCTAGACAAACGGACTAGAGTTTGATTAAAGTGGACTAAACAGGGCTGGTGTGAATGTACCCTAAGATTGGACATGACACACAATGGCTGAATGATGGATGAGCCGCATGATCGGCATAGATTTTTTTATTTAAAATTAATTATTTTAAATGATTTAGCACCTGTGTGCACTGTGCAGCCCAAGCTGTGGGAGAAGCTTCCTCTTGCAGCTGATCTCCGTGCAGAGCGGAGAAGTGGGCAAGTGGGAATGTTTCACTCCTTCATCACAGTCCGTTACCTCACTCTGTGTAAGTCATGTTCATTTCATGCCTAAAACTATGCAAATATTGACCTAGGATCAAAGTTGGACTGGAGATTCATACAGTAAAGGACAGATCTTGGTACTGGTCCATAAGCAGTGAAAGAAGATGTATACTAAATTCTCCGATGGCAAAACCGGGAAGTAATCTTCTGTAGTCCATGGTGAAATTAGCAGTTTTTGGACTGTTTTTGATTATACGTTCATATTTCAGGCAGCACGGTGGCGCAATTGGTAGAACTTCCGCCTCTCAGCAAGCAGGTTGCCTTTTCAAATCCCAGCCTGGGGCTTTTCTGGGTGAAATTTTCATGTTCTCTCCGTGCATGGGCGGGTTTTCTCTGGGTACTCCAGTTTCCTCCCACAGACCAAAAACATGTATGTTAGGCTGATTGGTAACTCTAAATTGTCTCTAGGTGCAAGTGAAAGAGTGAATGGTTGTTTGTCTTGTTTGTCTCTGTGTCCCTGTGATGGACTGGAGACCTGACCAGGGTGTACCCCACCTTTCGCACAGTGTCGGCTGGGTATGGACACCAGTGACCCCCACTCCCCGAAAAAGAAGAAGGTAAAGATAATGGATGGATGGATTCATATTTTAGAAATGGGTTAATCTGCCAAGCCTGATGTCATTTTGTTCAGTACAACATCCCATGTGTGACTTTCAAGTTATTATTTTTACTGCTGACCTACTGCATCAACACAATAGACTTAAAATAACACAAAAACATAAAATCCTTGTAGGAATGTATTCTCTTGAATCCTGTATTCATTCGTATCCATCTCCTCACCACAGACTCACGTTTGGGCTGCTGCTGTTACACCATACTGTTTTGGATTACACCATACTGTTTTGGATTATTAGTGTTTAGCATATATCTTAGATCTTTTGGCATGTCGCTTGGCAATCATTGGCACATATTTTAGTACACACAAGAATAAACAGTCATAAAAAGCATATAAAATGAAAAGTAAATAGTGTGGTCCTAAGACTGAACCTTGTGGTACACCATTATATCTTAAATCCTTATACTGTATACTATTTATTTTACACTTTATATTTTTGCTATTGCTGGGTGTTACTGGGATCATGTGTACATATTTTTGTTCCACCTATGTACCACATCTGATGAAACTAAAATAAAATTAACTTGAATTAAAAAAAAATTTACTGTGAAAACAACAAACGTTCATAATGAATTGTTTTTACAACTTAGAATGCAAATCTAAACAGTAATATTCATGAACATGTGTACAAATTTAGCAATAAACAAAGTTGTATCTACTTTTTCCATAAAAATGCAGACATATTTTCTCTGGTGTTTTTTGGACAAAACAATAAGGTGTAACAATAAAATGCCATAAATTGTTTCTGCCACGCATACGAACAGTTTCTGTACAAAACAAGGCAGAGGGGCACATCACATTCCCTTCTTTGTTTGTTTTCTATGTCGCACTCGGGATCAGTCAGGTGAACGTTCTACAATCTGCATCTAAATCTGTCTCGTTATGATTTGGGCTGGAAGGGGCATTGACAAAATGTGGTTTTGTTTCCAAAAATCCTGGATACTTGGCTGGGATGCCAACATTTAAATCAGAAGACCAAAACTTTTATGCAAATCTTCCATGTCTGTCAGTTGATTATTTATTTATTTTTTTCAGATTTTTTTTTTCTCTTTTTGCTACCTTCTTGTTGGTGTTGCTGCAGATTGTAAATGGACTGTACTTCTATAACACCTTTCTATCTTATCAAGACACTCAAAATGCTTTACAACACAATTTGTGCCCTCATTTACCCATTCACACAGCACTCTACTATATCTTTACAAAGAATAATCAGTGCTTTATCACATTCATACACCAATGGGACACACATCGGAGGCTTGCCCAGGGACACTTCAGCATCTGACTGCTGGTGGAATCGAACCCCCAACTCTTGCATTGGAGGACGACTGCTCTAACCACTCAGCCACAGCCATCACATTGTGGAGACTGTATTAATCAACAGGATATCAAGCTGTTCTTAGAATATCTTCCCACATTTGAAATTGTGCCTTTGCACATGCGTTGGACACTTAATTGTGTACATACTGGGTACCATGGTGTTCTGGGCGTATTACATGAAAGAGCCAAACTTATAGCAACAACTGGATGTGTTAATGAGCGTTTTGCTCACATTTCGCACACAAATGCATAGTTTTCTCTAAAAGATTCTCAGCTTTTCTAGCTGTACAAAAGACGATGGTAGACGTTCCAGACACACAGCCTGATAATTGTTTGAACCCTTGTAAAATATTGAGATTTATTGTTCTTCTGTTTGTTTTTGGCACGTAACTCATTTATATTTTTGTGCTATTTCAATATTTTTTATAATGAAATGTTCAGCTCATTCAGGACATTCCTGCTATGGTTTTTGGTATTTGTCCAGACTTGGTCAGAGCCAAAAACAATAAACACGTTCTTCTTCACTGAGGGTGAAGTGCATCTATCTGGACGTTTGTTGTTCTCTGTACATGTAATCTGTTGAGTTCTGGGTCTACATCCCCCTCTGATCTCCAGAGCTCAGAACTGATGCTTGGTTTTGTTGTCACAACCAGAGAGGTTCTGGACCTGGTGGACGTTCCGCACACAGATTCAGACCTCCTAGTGGGACTCGATCCACTCTTGCACTCTTTCCTCTTCTAAAACAAATCATTATCGCCCACTTCATCAGCAAAGTCCTCTTTGTCTGAGTCAGATTCTGTTTTCTCCTCCTTCTCTGTGGAGTGTCAGAATCTCAGTGGGAAGGTTAGGAACACTCAACATCTCATCCTTTGAAGAAAGTTCTTTGAACATCCAAAGTTTGGAGAAATGGTTTAAATTTGATCTGACTGATGAGCTTGAGGCTAGTCTGAGAGGAACCAGAATTCAGTGGATTGCACTCATCTTAAAACCTATCCAAAAAAGTTCAATCTGGTCCTCTGGACATTCAAAAAAACAAAAAACAAAACAAAGCAAAAAAATATAGAAACGTTTCGTCTCTCATCCAAGAGACTTCCTCAGTCTGAGGTGCTGTTTTCAGCTCAGTCTCTTAAATAGCACCTTCTCAGAGTGGATCAACCAGTTTGCTGCTGACAACCAAAACCAGCTGATCACATGCTCAAGAAGGACCATCAGCCTAACAATGGGTCATTAGCACACTGATGGCTCACTCACTCAGCCCTTGTTGAACAGTAAACAGCCATCAGTGTGCTAATGATCCATTGTTAGGCTG